TGGAAGCTGACACGTCGGATCAAAGAATCGGTGACGTGTCAGACCTCGCCGCGTCCTTTTCTTAACCCCCGCCGAGTCGTCGACGCTTTAGCGAGTCAACTCCGGTTCAAACCGTCAGCAAACGGGAGGGAAAAAAAAAAAAAATGGCACAGACAAAAAGTGAGTGAGTCATTTTCCCTCTTCAATTTTCTCTCTTGCCTGCTCGGGCCCTTCAGCCCCCACGCATGCACGGGAGGGCGGGAATGGCCTCTCCAAATGTCTCGCCGGCGCTCCACGCGGGTACTTGCTTTAATAGCGGCACAAAAATGAACAGCAGAAGCTTTCTTGCCCTCCGTCCCAACAGGCTATCGCCGTTTTTGCTCTCTCCATCCCCCATTATACTCGCTCGCCAATTTTCAGCCTCTCCGGGCTGCCTCACACTTCCCATTGGGGGGAATAAAGCGCATTTTTGCTCAGCTTCTTGTCGGAATACTAATTCCGCTTTTTTTTTTTGGGTTGAAGTGACTACATCGACCGTGATTCATCACGGCAAAATGGCGAACGTACGCGCGCCCCGGAAAGCTTATCAATTATGAAGGAGCACCGACGAGCGGGGAAAAAGCCCGGCTATAAATATATATCGGAACGACACGGGGAAGGTGAGCGGCTATTTTTACAACACACTTTGCACCTGCTGAGTCAGGCATGCAAACGTCCTAACATGCTAATTGTTAGCTAGGAGGAAGAGATACACGAAATCATTCACACACCCCCGCCCCCCCACATACGTCAGCATTTGCGCATTTCTTTTTTTTTTGTCTGCCTTTAAATAATGCCAGGCCTGCTAACGCCTCGCTTTGTGTTCCCGTGTGTCTCGCTGCAGCGCCCTCTGTTCATCCCAAGGTGGCAGGCTGACAATTGGTTCGGGTTATCGTCGATTTTTTATTTTTTATTATTATTTTGTTTTTAGGTTTTTTTTTTAATTCAGTTGGCTCTAATTGCGATTTTGAGTGAGTTTGTTTTTGAAGGAATAATTATGATTAGTTTTTTTAGGAAATACTTTTAGTTTAGATTTTTTTTTTTTTTTTTTAGAATTAGTTTTAGTTTTAAAATATATATATATTGACATATATGGGCTATTTGTCGAGTTCAGGATTTTTAAAAATAGTTGAAGTGATCCAAAAAAAAAGTGAAAATTTCAGTTAGTGTCCAGTTTTATTGTTTGTTGTTGTTTTTTTTTTAAATTTTTATTTTATTCACTTAACGCATTTTCTAGTTTTCATAAATGTAAATAAACTCGGAAGGAAGTAGCTTAGAAAGTGCGTGATTAGATACGCAGCGGCGCCCCCCCCCCCACCACGTTTTAAAAGCTAATGATCACCGAACATCAGAATGATTTAATGGCGAATAATTAAATTTCGCAGCCCGGTTACGATGTCGATGAACGCAGTGGTCAGCCTTGTCACATGTCCAACACTGTCATCACAACGGTCTCTTGTGTGATATTTTTCACTTTGGCGCTAATGCCTTGTAAACATTCCAACCTATGCTGGTGATAGCCGCCCGCTACCATGGCAACGCGCTGCTGCATTAGCTGGGAAGGGAGCAGCCGCAACACAAAAAACCAC